GTGTGTGTGTGTGTGTGTGTGTGTGTGTGTGTGTGTGTGTGTGTGTGTCATACTTTCAACTCCTCATCACGAATGAAATCAATGCACAAGTCAACAGCAACAAAATGAAGTGGGGGAAAAAAAGAATTGGTTTTAATTAAGAAGCCAAGCAGATTAATGGGAAGGTCTCTGTGGGGGATTTGTTTCTGAATAATGTATCTTTTTCTTCTAAAGCAGTTCATCARACGGTTCATAATGCCATTAAAGCCTAGCTTCAAACCTTCAAGCAGCAGCACTCAACCTTTGTGTTAAATATCACTGCATGGGCCCAAGAACGTTTCCAAACATCAGTGTCTGCAAAAACATGTTGCTGCTCCAAATGCTGCTTAAAGCTCTATCACGCAAAGAAGACACCACTTGTCAAAATCTGTCATTTTCTTTTTGCTCTTAGCTCATTAAAAAATGATCCGAGGCGAAGCGGAAAACTGTTCTTTGCTTTGACGACTTGAACTTTCAAATTCTTGATGCCACTTTATTAACGAGGAGAGGGACCTTCCTGCCTGTTTTCAAAAGCCTGCCTCTCTGATGGTATGGGGGTGCTTTAGTTCTCATCTCACTTCTGGAAAGGCATCATCAGTGCAGAAGAGATTTTAGAACGTTTGCCGACAAAAATGTGCGCAAAATAAGCTTTTGCGAAACCTTTCCTTGAAGAGCACATGTTTCTGTTTATCTCTTCCCTGACATACTGTACGTTGAGTGTTGCTCTTTCTGTGACCTTTAAAAAATGTGACCTTTAATAAAATTATGCATGCAAGGCTGCTGAACTTCACATGTTAAAAACACATCTGCTGGACAAAAACTAATGAAGGTAATATGACTAATCTGACTTTAATCTTCAAATAAATGAGCAGCTATGAAACTTTTATTGGCGACATCCTGTATCTTCCTTCTGCTCATAAAGTTACCACTGAGCGTACTTTAACACAAACCTTTTTTTGTACAATTTAAACCTTCATTCAAAGTCAAATAGTGATGATTTTCTGCTCATGTTTTGAGCTTTTCAGACCCCATGTCTTTTTGTCTGATTAAACATTCAGTGGCAGATGCACCAAATTTTATTTTATTTTATTTTATTTTATTTTATTTTATTTTATTTTATTTTATTTTATTTTATTTTATTTTATTTTATTTTATTTTATTTTATTTTATTTTATTTTATTTTATTTTATTTTATTTTATTTTATTTTATTTTATTTTATTTTATTTTATTTTATTTTATTTTATTTTATTTTATTTTATTTTATTTTATTTTATTTTATTTTATTTTATTTTATTTTATTTTATTTTATTTTATTTTATTTTATTTTATTTTATTTTATTTTATTTTATTTTATTTTATTTTATTTTATTTTATTTTATTTTATTTTATTTTATTTTATTTTATTTTATTTTATTTTATTTTATTTTATTTTATTTTATTTTATTTTATTTTATTTTATTTTATTTTATTTTATTTTATTTTATTTTATTTTATTTTATTTTATTTTATTTTATTTTATTTTATTTTATTTTATTTTATTTTATTTTATTTTATTTTATTTTATTTTATTTTATTTTATTTTATTTTATTTTATTTTATTTTATTTTATTTTATTTTATTTTATTTTATTTTATTTTATTTTATTTTATTTTATTTTATTTTATTTTATTTTATTTTATTTTATTTTATTTTATTTTATTTTATTTTATTTTATTTTATTTTATTTTATTTTATTTTATTTTATTTTATTTTATTTTATTTTATTTTATTTTATTTTATTTTATTTTATTTTATTTTATTTTATTTTATTTTATTTTATTTTATTTTATTTTATTTTATTTTATTTTATTTTATTTTATTTTATTTTATTTTATTTTATTTTATTTTATTTTATTTTATTTTATTTTATTTTATTTTATTTTATTTTATTTTATTTTATTTTATTTTATTTTATTTTATTTTATTTTATTTTATTTTATTTTATTTTATTTTATTTTATTTTATTTTATTTTATTTTATTTTATTTTATTTTATTTTATTTTATTTTATTTTATTTTATTTTATTTTATTTTATTTTATTTTATTTTATTTTATTTTATTTTATTTTATTTTATTTTATTTTATTTTATTTTATTTTATTTTATTTTATTTTATTTTATTTTATTTTATTTTATTTTATTTTATTTTATTTTATTTTATTTTATTTTATTTTATTTTATTTTATTTTATTTTATTTTATTTTATTTTATTTTATTTTATTTTATTTTATTTTATTTTATTTTATTTTATTTTATTTTATTTTATTTTATTTTATTTTATTTTATTTTATTTTATTTTATTTTATTTTATTTTATTTTATTTTATTTTATTTTATTTTATTTTATTTTATTTTATTTTATTTTATTTTATTTTATTTTATTTTATTTTATTTTATTTTATTTTATTTTATTTTATTTTATTTTATTTTATTTTATTTTATTTTATTTTATTTTATTTTATTTTATTTTATTTTATTTTATTTTATTTTATTTTATTTTATTTTATTTTATTTTATTTTATTTTATTTTATTTTATTTTATTTTATTTTATTTTATTTTATTTTATTTTATTTTATTTTATTTTATTTTATTTTATTTTATTTTATTTTATTTTATTTTATTTTATTTTATTTTATTTTATTTTATTTTATTTTATTTTATTTTATTTTATTTTATTTTATTTTATTTTATTTTATTTTATTTTATTTTATTTTATTTTATTTTATTTTATTTTATTTTATTTTATTTTATTTTATTTTATTTTATTTTATTTTATTTTATTTTATTTTATTTTATTTTATTTTATTTTATTTTATTTTATTTTATTTTATTTTATTTTATTTTATTTTATTTTATTTTATTTTATTTTATTTTATTTTATTTTATTTTATTTTATTTTATTTTATTTTATTTTATTTTATTTTATTTTATTTTATTTTATTTTATTTTATTTTATTTTATTTTATTTTATTTTATTTTATTTTATTTTATTTTATTTTATTTTATTTTATTTTATTTTATTTTATTTTATTTTATTTTATTTTATTTTATTTTATTTTATTTTATTTTATTTTATTTTATTTTATTTTATTTTATTTTATTTTATTTTATTTTATTTTATTTTATTTTATTTTATTTTATTTTATTTTATTTTATTTTATTTTATTTTATTTTATTTTATTTTATTTTATTTTATTTTATTTTATTTTATTTTATTTTATTTTATTTTATTTTATTTTATTTTATTTTATTTTATTTTATTTTATTTTATTTTATTTTATTTTATTTTATTTTATTTTATTTTATTTTATTTTATTTTATTTTATTTTATTTTATTTTATTTTATTTTATTTTATTTTATTTTATTTTATTTTATTTTATTTTATTTTATTTTATTTTATTTTATTTTATTTTATTTTATTTTATTTTATTTTATTTTATTTTATTTTATTTTATTTTATTTTATTTTATTTTATTTTATTTTATTTTATTTTATTTTATTTTATTTTATTTTATTTTATTTTATTTTATTTTATTTTATTTTATTTTATTTTATTTTATTTTATTTTATTTTATTTTATTTTATTTTATTTTATTTTATTTTATTTTATTTTATTTTATTTTATTTTATTTTATTTTATTTTATTTTATTTTATTTTATTTTATTTTATTTTATTTTATTTTATTTTATTTTATTTTATTTTATTTTATTTTATTTTATTTTATTTTATTTTATTTTATTTTATTTTATTTTATTTTATTTTATTTTATTTTATTTTATTTTATTTTATTTTATTTTATTTTATTTTATTTTATTTTATTTTATTTTATTTTATTTTATTTTATTTTATTTTATTTTATTTTATTTTATTTTATTTTATTTTATTTTATTTTATTTTATTTTATTTTATTTTATTTTATTTTATTTTATTTTATTTTATTTTATTTTATTTTATTTTATTTTATTTTATTTTATTTTATTTTATTTTATTTTATTTTATTTTATTTTATTTTATTTTA